AATCTTGAATACAGTGAAAGGTAAGAAAACCACAACCTACAAGGGGAAGAATATTAGAATTACTGCAGATCTCTCTGCTGAAACCTTTCATTTAATCATCGACATTTAATCTCTTAAAACAAAATAAATTTCAGCCCAGGATCCGGTATCCAGCTAAACTGAGTTTCATTTCTGATGGAGAAATTAAATTAAATACTTTAATGACATCCATGCATTGAAGAAATTTGCCATAACCAAACCAGCTCTCAAGGATATTCTGAGACCTATTCCGCATAATGACCAGTGCAACCTCGACCACAAAAGGAAACTATTGATCAAATTCCAACCTCTACAGTGGTGAAAGGATTAAAAATGTCCACTGGATTTGTGACTGACTTAATACCTAAAATTTTATCAGGCTTACCAATAATTTCAATCAATGTGAACAGCTCAAATTGCCCTCTGAAAAGGCACAGATTGGCTGATGGGATAGAGCAACTCAGACCAGACATCTGTTGTATACAAGAATCTCATCTTACCTGAAAAGACAAATATAGACTCAGGGTGAAAGGATGGTCATTTATATACCAGGCTAATGGAAAGCAGAAAAAAGAAGGTATTGCAATTTTATTTGCAGATACAATAGGTTTTAAACCAACAAAAATAACCAAAGATAAAGATGGCCACTTTATATTGGTTAAGGGCAATACTCAATTATAAATATCTATGCACCCAACCACAATGCACCTCAATTTATAAAAGAGACTCTAACTGGCATGAGCAACTTGATCTCCCCCAGCTGCATCATAGTCGGAGATTTTAACACGCTTTTGGCAGTGTTGGATAGATCCTCCAATGAGAAGCTTAGCAAAGAAATCTTAGAGTTAAACTATTCAACTTCTGGACCTATCAGACATCTACAGAATATTTCATCCTAACAAAACTGAATACACATTTTTCTCATCAGTACATGGAACATACTCCAAAATTCGATCACATCTTAGGCCACAAATCTAACCTCAGCAAATTTAAAGGAATAGAAATTATTCCATGCATCTTTTTGGACCATCATGGAATAAAAGTTGAACTCAGCAGCAACAGGAATCTGCAGACTTGTACAAAAACCTGGAAGCTAAATAACCTTATGCTGAATGATACATGGGTCAGAGACGAGATCAAGAAGGAATTTACCAAATTTTTAGAACAAAATGACAACGAAGGTACAAGTTATCAGAACCTCTGGGATGCCGCAAAGGCAGTCCTAAGAAGGAAATTTATACAATTGCAAGCCTTCCTCAAGAGAACGGAAAGAGAGGAAGTTAACAACTTAATGGGATATCTCCAGCAGCTGGAAAAGGAAGACCATTCCAATTCCAAATCCAGTAGAAGAAAAGAAATAACCGAAATTAAAGCAGAATTAAATGAGATTGAAAACAAAAGGATTATAGAACAGATCAACAAATCAAAAAGTTGCTTTTTTGAAAAAATCAACAAAATCGATGAACTTTTGGCCAACCTAACCAAGAAAAAAAGAATAAAGCCTCAATCAGAAATGGTAAAGATGAAATAACAACAGACCCTTTAGAAATTCAAAAAATCCTTAATGAATATTACAAGAAACTTTATTCCCAGCAATATGACAATCTGAAGGAAATTGACCAATACTTGGAAGCACATCATCTCCCAAGACTTAGCCAGAATGCAGTGGAAATGTTGAAGAG